TGGAAAATCAGCAAGGGTTGCTTTCTATAGTCCAGAGAGAAATCATGATGATTTGGATTCATCCAATGGAGATGGAAAAGACTGAAGAGATTCAGGATACATTCTGGAGGTTAAACTTACATGACTTACTAATTGACAAGAGGGATGGTGATACCCCAGGGAAGAGTTCATGAGTCTTACTATATTTTTTGCGGGAGTGATGGTGGACAGAGTTAAGTAAATTAGTTGCAAAGTAAACTGAATTTTTAAAAATTTATTTTATTTACTTATGCATATAAGAACTGGGGGGCAGAGATGCGAGGGTGTAGGGTGAGAGGATTCAGCAGAGACAGAGTGAGGAGCAAAATAGGCAGATCGACTGAAATACACTGTCGAAGGGAGCAGCAGGAGAGACAGGAGAGGTCTGCTGTGCCATGTGGGTCAGCTCCTTGGCCGGGGATCCAACTCATGCTGCAGAAAGAAGCTGGCAGTGGCTGGTGACAACTTGACAGCCCTGAGACTTTACCCCCAGCGGCACCAGATAGGCCCTCTCACATGTCCTTTTTGCAATAAAATATAATGTGCCTTATAAGCCATTGCTTTGAAAGATACTGCCCCCTTCCCAAACTTCATAGCTGAAAATGTGAAGGTCACGATTTAAATATCAATTTCTCAGGGAAGAGTTCCCTGACCATCCTATTTAAAGCAGTGAGCTCCCTGCATCTCCTTATTCTCTCTCTCAGTCCCTTACATTCACTCTCCCTCCAGAATGCAAGGCCTTCTTTAGCAAGGGCCTTGTAGATCTGCTTCTCCACTCTCTCCCTGCACCCACCCCCAGTCTGATACATGGGAGCACGTGACAACCGAATGTGCAATAGTGCAAAAGTACATCATGAATCCATATTTACATTTTATGTGAATTTTAAAGAAAACCGTGAGAAGCCAGTGATATCATTAACTACCCTTCAGATCTGAATCCCACACCCTGGGGTAAATATTCACTCCCCCTCTCTGCTCTGAGAAGTACTTTATAAGCCCTAGAGTAGTCTGTCTCATTGGTGACACTCTAGGGGTCTCGTGAAAACACCAGCAAGCAATAAGGTGGTCACAGATCACCTTTAGAGTCTGAGACTCTAATCTTTAGAGTCTCCGACACTCAGAGAGGATCCATTTCAAAGAGCTAACATTTTCCTTTCAAATTCCAGGTGAAATTTTATAAGGAATGAGTGCCATTAAGTCCTATTAGCAATGTGTAAGACTTTCTGAAAAGAATGTTAGGCTAATAACACTTTGTCTTTCACATCAAAAGCCAAGAATGAATAGGAGTAAGGAAAAGTTAAATGCTTCAGGTTCAATCTTTCAAAGATGACAGAGGAAAGATGATAGAGAAAAACACTCCTCTCCCTGAAAAACATATACGGAAACAGCCACGCAGGGAAGCATTCTGCCTGGTAAAGCCCAACCTTGTTTCTTTTGTAGATCAAGAGCCACTTACAGGTCTGCACCAGCGTCAAAGCTGCACATGGACCTGCCCCACTTCCCACCAGTGTCTGTCAGACCCAACATCATGCTCAAGGGGCTGCTGAAGGCTGGGAGTAACAGCGGGGTCACTGGTTGTGAGGATGAACCTGACCACAGGAGAACTTCAACTAAAGCTTTTCCCCACTAAGTAACAGGTTAGTATATTTTACAGGTTACATCAAGAGACCTGACAGGCTTCTCTTCATTATGTCAAAAACACACCCGCCCAACTGTTAAAATTAGTA